TTTTCGTTCGTTCATTTCGGACCGAATCGTGGATGCCCATCAGCTGAAAAAAAGCGGAAAGATATTGTTGTGTAATGACGGCCATATCAGTAAACCGATCGCAGCCTACCTGAGGATTTAGACGCTCTGTACAGGTATTCGCGATGACTTACACGTAGCTAACTTCTATAAGCCCTAGATTATTTTTAAAAAAGTAATTATAGCTTTTATACCTTGCAACGGCTTTTGTAATATGGCCATTCGCAAATTTAACTTTTGAGAGCAAACAAGACACGTATGCAGTTAAGAACCAGCCTTCTGTCTGAGATTTTTTAATATTGTTAGTCTCAAAAACAGAAGGACTGACGAAAATGAATGACTCAACTTTTTGAAGGCCGTGCATGCTTATTTCTAAGTGGAAATAGAATGAAGTGATAAAATAAAATTTTCGTCTTCCGATGATGGGTATAAAAAATGATTACAGCAAGATGTTCGAAAATTGCAACGGCTCAAGTGATTATCGTTGTGCAATTACTCTGTTTTTCATTCTTGTATTTCATTCCTCAATAGTTGAGTAACACGTGAGAGCCATTTTTCGGAACAATTGTAGAAAATGCAGCTATTGTGGGTGTAGTTTTTTGCTTTAGATATTAAATGCAAATGTTTGAATTGAGTGTGTCCGATATTCTTCTTTGCCTGCTCGTTTTTCTTAATGTTTTCCTCCTTCTAACAGAACTTCTTAGTCTCTTGAACCTTTTGTAACAGGTACCACATTTTTATGGCAATCGCTTGATACACTGCACCAACCGGTTCCGTTTAGGTACGGTAGTCATTTATTCGCTTACAGTGGCTGGCATTGTCTTCATACGGTAGTCACTTATTATAACGCATTGCAATAGCACATGGCAAGTCTGGATTGGTGGCGAAGTATGGTTCAGTTGCGCCGTCGCGAAAATCGGTAAAGTACGATATTGCCGCGCTATAGCCAAAGGGTTAAATGCCCAGGAAAGAGGAGCATTTGTCACAGATAGACACCGAACACAATATACTTTTGCATGGAGTACCAGATCCAGCTATTTTAAGATAGCAACCGTTAACCCTTTTATAATAAAATTGTCAAATTAACTTCAAATACTGGACATATTAACGCTTTCGAAGAAGATAGACAGTTATTCATATTGCATTGGCATTGATTAAAAATTTAAGACAAATCGGAGATCTTCGAAGGATTGGTTGAATGCATTGATCTATAGCAGAAAATTTGAACCAGAAAAGACAGATCAGTCATTCATAGATGTCAGCAGACTTTGGAGGAAAACTTAACCTCGGGCAGTGTTTATTATCTTGCTTGTCCAAAAAATGAACGACCATTCAATAATAGCACATCTCATATATTCCCATTTTCTTAACAGTCTGTCAACTCAAAGATAAAACACTAAAATTTTTTTACCTTCGACTTTTTGGGCAATTTCACCTGAATCAATTTTGAAACTTGCGCGGCTTTATATAGTATGTAAACCAAAAAGAGTGAAAATATAAATATTTCCCTCAATCACTAAACCATTCAGATCGATATATGTCTCATTAGAACGAAGTGTGATATAAATACCCAAAAATGTATTGTAGTCTAATAAAGCGGTAAAGAAAACAATCTCTACATGATAATTGAAAAATAATTCGAGGCGTTTCATAAAAATAACGTGCACATGTTGTTTTCGTTAAGGATAAAGCGTTTTGCGTCTTTCGCGCTTTATTAACATTGACCGAATGGCTTCACGATCCTATTTTCCTTTCATTAGCTTAAGGAAAAGACAAAAACATTTCGTTTATAGTGAAAATCAAAGTTAGTTTATCACTCTAACGAACTTCTTGCCAAATACTGTCTTTATTTTATTCTTGCAACGCAACAAAATGTAAAACAAAAATAAAAACAAAAATAAGTTAATAAATAATAAAAACAAAAAAGCTTAAATTTTCTTTTATATCAAAAAATTTTTATACATTTAATGTCTTTAAATATATGGCACGTAATTTTATTATATATATGTAGATATATACAAATAATGTAAATAAAAGTAATAAAATTTAAAAATAGGAAACGATTGAGATTTCTTTGTTCGTACAAAAGGCATAATAGCAAAACTCTACCTTTGCGTTAAGTGATTTTTCGCTTAAAAAGAAATATAAGAAATGAAGATTGTTCCATAGGAAAGGGTAGAAAAAGTGGTCCAATCCGAACTATTTTCAGTAAAGGTCGTTTCGGTGCGCCATATTCCATAGAAATAATTCCAAAATTGTGACCACAAGAAAACAAGATTGGCAGACGGACAGACAACGTTAGATCGTTTCAGAATGTGATCCCGGATCAATCGGTATAATAAAAGGTGAATCCACCCTAAGTGCTTCTTGGTGTTATATGTGTCGGCATAAACTTTATATACCGTTGTGCCTGCCACTACTGATGTACGTTATAAAAAGCATTGGCGAAAATATTGTAAGGTATACGGCTTTTTCCAAGTTGTTTTATTTTTCTTTTACCGAAGACGGACACAAATGATATAACTTTTTAAAGTTCGGGTGCAAACCTAATGCTTGACATCCCAGTTTGACAAGAATAAATATAAAAATAATAACGGAACAGAATATCTGATTTTTGAGAATACATGTACATTTTATGGAACCTACGGTGCATATATGTAGTACGAGTCGCTTGGATTATGCAAATACGCCGTTTACAGCCGCTCACAGCCTAAAGTGATTAACTTACTTGTTATATTTAAAATTAATTTCGAAAGTGGTACAAACCTATTTTAAAATTAGTTCTGTTATCCGAGACCTGATATAAATCCGTTTTCTAAGGGTAGGAAGACCATATTTTAACCGTTACATACTATACATACATATGCTATAGTATTTACATCGTTTTACATCACAGTTTTTAACTTGGATGACGTAAATGCTGTAGCATTCATGTTAGGGACCACGAGAGAATTTGTTCAAAGGCGCTTTAATTTCATAAAAAATAGTCCGCCCACGCGAATAATAGGACTTAAGAGATTCTCCACGACAACAACATTTATGTCCGTTGAATAGTAAACGTTTGTTTTGAAACGTTTTTTTGTTGTTGTGTTGCGTTGATTATTGAAGCTAGTGTACAATAAAATCGGAACATTTCCCTAATTTTTCTATAGTTGCTTGCAAACCTCTTTGTTTGTTGAGTGTTATGCTGAGACATATTCACAACTTTACCACCGTGTTATATGAACCCATGTTATAGGGAAGGGGTCTACTACACTTCTCTTAAAAGCCATCATACTCATATTCACGATAAATGCCATGGGATCTTGAAATATTTTATTTCTTCGGCTATTTTCTTGTCCAAAATCCTATTGGACTGAACGATATTGCAATAATTAAATGGAGCGTAACCGTTCTGCGGCCAACGTCAAACGGACTAATTCGGCATTTGATTCGCAATAAACGCAGCAATGCATTGCTACAGAGCATTTATCAGATCTAATGTGAATGCAAAATAAGAAACCTGAAATCATTGCATTTCCACGTCGATTAGGTGTCGACATTGCAATTCGGTGGACGAGTCGACATTATGTTTTTTGTAAATATATTATTCGAAATGAATAATTGGTTAAGATAGTGCTTATCGCTTATTTTGTGTTTATTAAAGCGCAAAATGAAAACAAACCGTAAGTTTAGAGATGAAAAAATTTAAATATAAATAAAAGTGTGCTAAATATGCCTTTTGTCCACAAGTTGCATTCTTAATGAAGCTGACCAAAATAAAAAATAAAAACTATTCAAATTCGGTTTGAAGTTAAATAAATATCTGAGTAGAGTTAATGGCTGCAAAGCAAATAAATGAAGCATGTATAACAAAATATATTAAAATTTAACTAAACGTATTTTGAAAAAATTTAGAATATGTTTAGTATCATATTTTAGGCATAACTGGATATATTATAATAATTTGCAATTTTCTCTTTTTTTTATTCTACTTTTAATGGAAAAAATTCACTAAATTTTTGTTTAGCTTTTCTTTTTTTTTTTTGGTTGTTTTTGTTTTCGTTTTGAAATTAGGGTTAATAAGTAATGCGTTGTGTGTATGTGTCTGAGTGTTTTTATGTTTTTGTGTTTTATATTTTTGGTAAATTTTATAAAATGAAAATGTGAACTATCTTATATAAGCAGGTTTATGTTTTGTTTTTATACATACGTACTCATACATGTATACATATACATATATATATATATATATATATATATACGTATACGTTTTATTTTTGGTAAAAAACTTTTTTCTCTATCGAATATGCTACAGCTACGGAGATTTAATACTTTTGCCTACAGTTTGCTAATTCCTTATAGATAAATACACAATTATATGTATATATATATATATATATATGTATATACATATATATACATATATATATTATGTATGTAAGGTTGTATGAAAGTGGTTTTAAGTTAATAATGTACAAAATTTAAATTTACAAAGTAATCGGTTATCAATAACAATTCGTTTTACTCATTTCTTTTTTTTTAATGTTTTCTTAATATATTTAATTTTTATTTAATTAATTGTATTTCTTTTTTTCGTAGAAAAATGAAGCTTTGTCTTTTAATGCTAGGCAAGGATTGTGTTTCTGTTCATGTGTCTTCGAGTTTATAGATGAGGGAAGAAAAGGAATCAAAAATTTTCATGTAAGTTTATCTAAATGTTTCTTAATTATTATTATATATATATATTTTTTTTCTTTTTTCTATTCACAAAACATCTCAGGAAAAAACAACTGCAGAATAGATAAAAAATTTCAAGTTTTTGTATTTAGTTTTTCATCCAAAATAAAGTATTTGCTTAATCACTTGATTTTTATTTTTTTTCGTTATGACATATTTCAAAACATTTTTTCATTATTCGCTTTTCAATTTTGTCATATTTTTTCACATGAGAGATTTTTAGACACTGATTGCATCCATGAGTATGTGTAAGTGTTGTTGGGTTTTTTTTTTATTAAAGATTTCAATTTATTTCTTGTTTTTTTTTTTTTTACATTTTTGTTGTTGCCTTTGCAATTTATCTGACCGCAATTTCATTGCCTGCTATGCATGCATGTTATATACTTTTGTTTTTGTCTTTTTCTAAAAAATTTTTAAATATTTTAATCGCATTTATCAAAGTACTTATGTATAATGTGTGTACGTACATATGTGTTTGAATACAAAACAAATGTGTCTTCTTACTTCTTGCAATTTATATTTTGAATGTGGATTTTGAGTGTCTACGCGTGTGTGGGCGTTTGTCTTTAAGTGTAATTCTCTGTTTAATTTATTTACATGTATTTGTGTGAAAGTAAATCCCTAACAATTTCAAGTGCACCTTAGTTTTTATTCTCTTTCCCCGCATTTCATTTTTGTCGTCATTTCCTTTTCGCTTTAGTTTTCCTTTTTTTTCTTATTTTTTTTTTTCTATTATTAAGCTTACATGCCTGTGTGTGTGAGAGGTTTTACACATTCAAAATTCTTGCAAATTATTACATAAATAAAAGCACTTATATAATACGTAAAATAAATCGAAGGGAAAATTTAAAAGAGAGCGTAAAAGTATTTGAAAAACACGAAAAGAAACATTCAGAGTAGATGGATAGTTTCCGGACGCAATTTCTGCTAGTTCTCACTATTTTTTAATAAACGCCTTCACAAACTTGAATTTCTCGTAAAAGTTAAGGTAACTTGCTAACTAACCTGCTGAGCAAAACATGTGAAGTAAGCGCAACTTGCGAAGCAGACGTTACCTTAAGTGTAAGCATAGCTTTCTAAGTAAGTAGAGCCCAGTGCAGAAGATACATATATTTATTTTCATGATAACAATGTGAAAATAATATAGATAATTAATTAACTATACTTCAAAAGTGCATTTATAAAGAAAAATTTTAAAAAATTTATTAATCCAAGTTGACATCGGATTCCCCGCCTTAAAGAATAAGGGTACTACTTCTTAGGATTTGATGCTTGTGCTACCTGTCTCTACTTTGTTAGGCATCGTTTCGTAGCAATCAACGTTTGGATTTTTGCTGTTGCTTAAAAGTCGGACGAAAGCTTCGTTCTTTATGTAAAAGATCGATTACGCTTAGATCCGCTTATCAGTAACTAAGTGAATGACGTGAGCAAGCCATGATATTTAGAGAAATGTTCATTACACCCTTGCCTAATTAACCTTCAATTAGTTCGATACCTATTAAGCTCACCAAACTCTTGTGATTGCGTTTTTCGCGGGCCTCAGTATCAGTGCCTTAGTATGTGGTGTTTCGATTTAGAATTTCGTACTGATCAAGGATACAGTTTATAAGATCTCTGAAGCTTCTTTGTGGGAAACATTCTATTGCAAATATTTTGACCAACCAAACTCTTTCTCCTTGACCAGTATGACACCATTTGCTCAGCGCTAAGTTATTATTAAGTTCCCAGTCCTTAAGCCATTAAGTTTACTATCTCGCTTAAACACCATTGTTGAGTAAACCTGGCAGTTTACCTCAAAAACTCATCCCAGTTCCTCACTCAAAGAGCTGCGCGATCGAATATCGATCTTTCATATAGGGCAGACGAAAAAATCGAAACGATGGTTACTGCGAGATTAATGGAAAAGGCAATATTGACAGACAAAATAGATAGCAAATTTCATGAAACGTTCCCCTTTCTCCTTAGGGCAGGAAAAATTCGGTCATCAACCCGCTTTAAAATCTTCTATAAGATTTTTCTTTACATACGTTTCATGTACAGTCATTTTAATTTCATGATTTTCTACAAATGTTGTATGGCGAGGATGTCTAGCAGATGGGTTCTGAAAACGAGCCGTCGCAATCTGAATTGCGTCTGTTAAGAATAATACAAAAATCGGATATCGGAATCGTCCATGCAATAACGTAGGGTTTCAAAAATTTCATTTTTTTAAAACTTTTTGCGATAAAAGATTCGAACACAAGCAAATAAATGCGACTTTAATTTCCTTTCGTGTATCCCTTTAGAAAGTGTAGAGGAATTAGAAAGGGTACTGTAACGAGATTTTATCGAAGAGTGGCTTTCAATTTTAAAATTATTTGCATATAATTGTTTGAAATGAGAAAAACAAAATTTTCTTAAATTTGAAACGCAGCTGTCAAAAGTTCTCTCACACATAGACAGGCGCACGTAGATGAGATTGGAAGATATTTTAAATACCATCAATAGATATCATTATCATCCCAATCTACGGATTGCAGCACTAATTTGTCCAATTCTTTGGAATCGCCTGAACTGCTGTTACGTCTACGACGTTTACGATGTAAGTTCCATTTGCGATTTAACTGAGGAGCGGCAAACATGGCCGCAGCCGCCGCACTTAGTTTGGTAGGCGTGATGGCATTGCTTAGAGTTCCAGCCAATGATGAAGTTTGTTGTTGCTGATCTTGTTGCAATGAATTCGAGCTGGAATTGCCGTTCGATGAACTGATATTGAATAGCTCACGATTATTAAATAAGTATTTACGAGTTGTTGGTGCGTGGGATCTTTGTCCCCTGGCCGTTGAATTTGTTAAGGATAATGAGGCCAATGAAGATTTCTTTGTTAATTGCTGCTGAGATTGTTGCCTGTGCGGTGGCGTATCGTATGGCGGCGGCGGTGTTATCATTGCCAAAGATGAAGAATCACCGTCATTATCGTGCGGAAGGTCAAAAGCATGATTATCACCGGTCTCTTTGAAGAGATCGTCATTGTAATAATCATCGTCGTCTTCGCATATATTTAAACTACAATTGGGATATGAATAGGGTGGCATATACAAGACGTCGTTATCATCAATATAGTCGTCATCAACATCGTCATCATCGGCAGAGGATGGCATGAAATTGTTCGTTGTGGGATTCACTTGTACAGGTGTGGCAGGAACGGATTTAGTCAACATTGCTTTTGGCTCACGCGTATTATTATGTCGCTCTTGTTGTTGCTGCTGCTGATGCTTTTGTTTCGGTGTCTCTTTTACAGTTTTTGTTGTTGATTTTGTTATTGCTGTTGTTGTGAATAATGTTTTGGCAGTATTAGCATTTTGTTGTCGCTGTTGTTGTTGTTGTTGTTGTTGTTCTGATTGTTGCTGTTGTTGTTGTTGTAAATACGATTTTGTTATTATAGATTTCTCATCTATTGTATTTGTGTTTATTGTTGTAGTTATTGCTAATGCGGTTGTTGTGGCTGCGGTTTTGATTAATGGCATCGATTTGGTATTGGTGATCAATCAATCACGATATATGTAACTGCAATTCTTGGGGCTCTCTTGCGGACTTGGACTACTAGATGGTGGCGCTGGACTAGAACTACTATTTGACATAACCGGCGATGAGCCCGAACTAGAATGTTGTGGACTATTGGAACGATGTTGAGTTACTGCAAATGAAAGAAATTTTTTAATAATAGTTTTGTTCATAAAAAGTTATAAATGAACATATATATATATAGTTTACGAGCACATATCCCGAGTTATGTATTTGTGATATTAAAAATATGCAATTCAAGTGGCTGTGCACGATAGTATATAGTTAGTATAAGAGCCACGTAAGATTTTAGAAAAAACAGCAAAACTATAACGCAAATATTTCTAATAAAATTAAATTATAAATTAATAATAATAAAAAAAATTTTGATTTGCTATGACAACAAGTGCGTCTCTTCAGTTAGTTCTGCATTTAATTAGAATGATTTTATGCTTAAAGTTAATTGCTTGCTGAAAACATTATTGCAGTATTATAGTCGTATAGCAGAAAAGTTTCTAGAAACTATATTTGATAATAAGAAGTCTTAAAATGCGTCTAATCGAAGCTTCGAGTAAAATCTTTAAACGGGTTTTTAAAATTTATAAAAGTATTCGATTTTATTCTAACTGATCAGCAGCATTTCATGTAAAAATGAAATTTCCTCCTTTACCTTGTTTTGCAAAGGCGTCACGCCTACGGCTTTTTTTCCAGTCAAATTAACTTATACCCTAATTTCCAGTATATAAAGGCGGCGTTGACCCTGTAATGCCATAAACCCAAGTAGGTTGCAATTAAAAGATATAGACCCAAGGACTTTCGCCCTTTAGCAAAATCCATGATGGAAACGAAACAGATGGAAACGATAGTATTAGCTTTAGAATTCCTTTTGAGTTATCTCTATCAGCTTGCCTAGCGACCTAAGCTTCCTCGTCTTATAATGCCACTTAGATTTCCAAAAGATTTTAACAGAATTCAAAGGAGTTTTTGGGTGTCAGAGCACTGCATGTGATATGGGGGAGATATGAAAATCATGTTTCCTAACATTAATAAGATCAATGGTCGAACATGTAAGCGATGGAAAGCTTAAGCAGAAACACTCCAATTATACTTAAAGCAGAATCTACTTAAAGTCGGTTACCGGCAATGTCAACCAAGAGCCATAGTAGGTGTTTAAAGCAAAAGAAGTCGATTCAGAATTGGGATATAAGTTACTACTCCAAGAAAGTATGGGCGTGTCAAAGAGACGATCTGAGTTGTTCTATTCTGCTAGCGTTTAAATCTTATAGGCTATTACAGGTAAATAAAATTCTTTGTCTCGTTTACATTTTTTTCCTTATTGCGACTGAGATTGTCTTTTACAATCGATAGGATTTATCTTGAATATCATTCGGTGGTTTATATCCAAATTTTATTGAAATTAGGAAAAAAAGCAAATTGGGGAAATTTGTTTGCATGGAAAAGTGCTTGAGAACTGGTAGTTGCGGATCAACACGCAGCTGGTTCCATCGCTTTGTGTTACACGGGCTGTGTCTAAACTGTCAGGAGACAACAATGTGTAGTGAAATAAAAGCATTAGTTGAATATGCTATCTGACTCCAACGGCTACGATTTTGATCTAAAGATATTGGATGAAAATATTCACATCAGCCAACAGCAGGTCCAGAATAATAATTGCAACATATCTGACGGGTAGATTGCATTTTCTAACTCATGTTGGCAAATATGCAAAGTGATATGGAAGCTTCATTTCCAAAATATTGCTTCTTCTAGGAAATGTACAGCACGAACGCCAGAGCAAGGAAAACTGGGAAAAAGAAATGTAGTGATCACGGCTATTAAGCAATAGTAGCGCTAGACACAGAGCATGATTGCTATCTAAAATGCACCTTGTATTTGTGCACATCTTAGGAAAATTTGTCAAGAAAAAATCTTAAAGTATTCTTTATTTAGGTAACTGTGTGTGCAAATTACCTATTATATTATAAATAAATAAAGTATTTATTGGATGTGCATGCATGTTGCAACATTGAGAAAATTCTTACATCAAAACTTATTTTGTTCACATTTAATGCACATGCATGTTGCAACATGCTTGCAAATGGTGTACAGCGCAGTTTCTTCTTCAAATTGGTAAAAGAAAGTAAAATTGAACGGAATATAAAAGAATATACCTTTATAAATTTTACATAATACTGCGTTTGAAGCGAAGTTTTTCAAGCGATTACGTTGGAAATATTGTAAATAGCCTTCGAGGAACTTGTAAGAGGTAAGAAGCTTTCGAAAATTGAAATGAGAGTAGCTCTCACAAATTGGCTTGATCGAGTCGAAGGTCAATTCAATCTTCCACTCAACCTTTCATTTGCTCTGCACTTATGAACTATTCTCAAGTGGTAAAGTATAGAACAGAGGATGTAAGAAAATCCAAAAAATTAAAAATTTTGGAATTAATCTGAGATTGAAGCAGACAATTACAATTGCGGTAAACAGATCACCAAAAAAAAAAAAAAAAACCAAGGTTATTGTCTTTCATAATTAATCGTTCCTCGTTTATTTTTCATTCGAAATGTGAACTAAATGAAAAACACAAAAGGAAGAAAAACAAAATATGGATATTTTGTAAAAAAATAATATTTTAAGATGTAAAAGATTTTCGTTTTCTTTTTTATAAAACTGAACTGAAAGGAAAGAAAACACACTCACTACACAATAGAAATGTAAAAAAAGTGATATTTCTGAGCGAATTTCGTCACAATAGCGATAAACAAATGATAGCAATAATGAAACAAGAAGAACTTACCAATACCATGACGGGGCGGCTGCCTTCTTAAACGACCAAGACTTCTGTTACGTGTATTTGTGTTAACAGCCTGAGCAGTTGTAGTTGTAGTTATAGTGAATTGGTATTTTTTGATATATTTAAAAAATAAAAGTTTTTTTTTATTGTTGTTTGTTAGGATAATAAAAAAAGTTTTTTTTTTCTTCTTTTTAGTTTCTTATTGTTTGGTATTCTCTCTTTGTATTTTGCTATTTAAGTGTGTTTCTATATTCAATTATTTTTAAAATTACTAAAAAAATTACTTTTATTTTCATTTTAGTTTTTTCTTTCCAAGAGCATGATATAAAGAAAATGCAAATAATTTCAATGACTTTTTCATTGGTAAACATAAAATGTAATGAAATTGAACGAAAATTGGAATTGAAGATAATTGAAAGTAAAAATTAAATTCTTAAATATCTTTATTGTTTGCTTAGAGACATGCTTTTTCAAACCTAAAGTGTTTGTTTGCAAGTGTTCGAGTAAATGTTTCATGTGTTGTGTTATTATTAAGTAAACATATCGTGGGATAAGTGCAAAATGTTTATATTTTCGATTTTAAAGATTTCTTTTAAGATTTTGCATTGTGTTCAAGGCGATTTTACTGCTCAACGTTTAATTAAACCACCACCGAGAATAGAACTTTACTTTTTATATATCTCCCATGCCTGGATTTACGTCAGTTTATTTGAAGGAAATTTTTGCCATCAAAGCGACGAAAATAAATGAATGAAAAGCCTGAATAAGGACTTTAAGAATCCAAGCTTGTCTCCAGCTTGAGATAAGCTCAAAAGAATCAAGTCCCAGGTATCCGTATCAGTTTGTACTTATCGGCAAAAAGCAAAAACGAGATATATATATATGTATATATATAAATGTATAATAGAAAGGAGCTTCTAGCGGCAGTTGTGACGACAGGACACACTTTTTTTACTAACAGTGATGTTATGAATATTTCGTTGTAATGTAGCATAGTATTAAGAACAAACTGAAATCAAGGCTGAAACAGAGCACGATGTCATTCTTAGTTCTTAGAATAAGATTTAGATGAACTTTCCATTGCGAGTTTTATCTATATACAACATTCTGTTTTATATAAAAGGTTATATCCTTGACACTCTATGCATGTATTAAGCGAGCGAAATTTTAAATGATCTGAAAATTCGAATTCCGAATGTAATTCTGTAACCCTATCACAGGCGCTTGAAACTTTAACCCTAATCTGACCACAATGATCCTCATCGAAAACAAACTGTGGAGCAGAGGCGCGTTGAGGACCCGTTCGTATCATTCGAAAACCGTAATGCGAACTTTGAATTGAACCACAAAAGTGCATGCAGTACTTGCATCAGCAAATAAATATTTTTCTCATATTTCGTAAATTTTATTTTTTTTCTATAATCTGAAACAAGAGAACATATATATCCGATGTATAGTGATTTATGTTTATACATAGCTATGTTGCATATACAAATTGCACAACATTTTAATTATTCCCATGATTCTCATAACGGGAGTCATATGCTGGTGTGATTCATTATAAAAACGCGTGGTCAGATTAGAATTCTATGCTTAGGGTTTTTAGGTTTTCCGAGAAAAACCCATTCTCCTTCTTAAACCTTTAGTCATAATTTTAGAAAATGTTTGATTCGGTGCAAGATTGTCATCTTAGTGGTATAGCAATGGGACGATAAATAAAAAAATGATTTGTTTTTGTGTGCGTTATATAAATAAAATCCTTCCTTCTTTTTATGTAAGTAAATTTAGAGAAATGAATTCCCATCTCATTATACCCGTCTCATTATACCTATAGATTTAGAATCCTTTTCTAAATCACCGTCTGAATCGATCTAGGGTTTTCTATCAGTCCCTCCGTCTTGTTTTCTTGTGCTGAATCTACAGTTCCAAGGACAAATGCTACTCAAAATAATCCTCCACCTCCCATTATAACGCCTTAATTCAAAAATTATCTGTAGGGTGGTATAGGGTATTTAATATCAATCGTTGTTAACAACATTTTACATCATGTGTAGCGACACAGTTTGAAACTTGTATCTACAACGACACAACAGTTCGCAGGGCGATTAATCGTTCAATGGATAATTCACTCATTAGCTACATATCCGCTTTGTTGTGTTAATTTAAAGTAGAGTATGTAAATATAAATAAATTCTTCTTATTGTAGGGCACGTTCTATTCTTTGAATGTTCGTTATTACTACTATTATTATTGTTATTATTATACACTACTACTATTATATACTACATAAGTGAGAGAAATAAATTTTAGAATTCAAATATAAAAAAAATTATTTCTTTTAAAGCTGCGTTTCGTGCATCGAAATCGGTACAGGTGGTGTCGGAATGGCGCTGGCTCATGCGCGACCCGTTACGGAACGTGTTGAAGCGATATTTCCTCGTTTGCAACTATCGGACTAAAATAATATCGTAGACGTTTTTTATATCCCAATATATACTAAGTACAAAAACGCTAATAAGCTCTGACCGATGAAGTGAATACATTGTTGGCATAACTAGTGGCATGTATCAGAATGGTTTAATAAGAAAGAAAATTGTTAATGTTTGGATCGAAAACTTGAGTCACCACGATTAGCATATATTGTGCACTACATTCAAACACCCTGTAGAATGGATGATGCGCGAGCATGAAGATATCTCTTCTTTTCAACTTAAGCTGTGTCTTGCATTATGCGCGGTTTCTCATTAGCTATTGAACAATGTATACATGTACAATGTATAAGGCAACGTAAAAGGCATTGAGGCTTATAAAATTATTCACTCTGTCTAGAAATGTTTTATTGAAATTTTGGCTTATATCTGGTAGACATTTTGGAAAATCCATTTCTATTCACATATTCTAACTTAGTCGTTTAAATATAAGAGCTGTCGACAACAGGCGGGATCGTTCCAAGTAAATTATGCAATAGAGTCTTTATTTTCTGAGCCGCCATGTGCCATGTGGCGACATCTTGAAAAAATTAAAATGCGTCTACATCGATAGAAGCAATTAAGATCGTTATCTGAAATAATCGAAGCAGCCGCAATTCCCACAAAAGTATTGCTCAACGACTACGGCGTAAAACCGCGATCCTTGAAGAGATGAAGAGATGATCAGACTGTTTTTCTTATACATGAACAATGGCTTTTGTTGTTTACAAAATGGGCTTCGTCGCTCAGAATAAGTGTTTATTTAAAAAATTATGATCTTGTTTATGTATTTCTTCAGCATCCAATCAGTTATTCATTATGTTTAGAGAGATTTTATATAATTTTAACACTCAACCAAAGAATGTACCAGAGAATGTATTTGCAACACTCCTTGCATAGATTTGTCAAAATCATCGCAACCACGTTTGTATATTGGCAGTTAAACAATGGCATAAACTTTATGACATTTGCCTTGTCCGGAAACCTTATTATTTATCTTAAGTATTTCAGTACAAAACCTCAAATGAAATTCTTTTGAAAGCAAGTTTCCAAGTACTATCGCGCGTTGCTCTTTCCAATTATATTAAAGGTTATTTTATATTTTAAAGTTACTTTGTAAATTAGTTAATGAGGGGAGTGTCTTGTATATATGTGTGTGAATGTACATGGGTGTGCATACTATTGCATTCTATGCCATCAATTAGCAAGCATTGGAGTTTTTATTTCTGATACAATTTCTATAATGAACCGATTAAATTGGCAAACTATTGAACGAAGGAAGTATAGAGAGAAAAAAAAATGTATATAAAAAAAGTAAAAATATATAAATTAAATTATACACCGCACGTATTCTTATGCTTTCTTCAAAATTGATAGAAAAAAATGAAAAAAGAAAACGAACAGCAAAAAGGAAAGTGAAAGAGAAAGAGAGATAGAGATAGAGAGACAGAGATAGAGAAAGAGAGAGAAAGAAAGAGTAGAAGAGGTTCTAATTAATAAGATATAGATAGAGCACCAGTTGTTGATACGTAGCAGAGACGACATTAAGTTGTGTTCATAGAGGAAGACAGACAAAAAACACAGCTAACGTGTGTGTGTGTGTGTGCGAGTTAATATGCGTGTTTAGAAGAGAAAGAGGTACAACAGATGCATAGAATACTCGACCGTAATAATCAAAAAATTTAGAGTAAGAAAAAAACTCAAGGTATAGAGATAGATAACTTTGTTGAAAAACGGTGCTAATGTCTAGAAGATACAACATACACACACACAATTACACAATTACATAGCATTTCAGTATGAAATTGAATTGAGCACTTCTTCTTTTCAATGTTTAATTTTTTTTTATTTTTTTTTTTTTGGATGAGTTCATATTTTTGTTGTTTTTGTGTTGTTGTTTTGATTAGTAATAGCTGTGGGGTCAGTTTTGGGTGGTTTTGACAGCACGTTCATACACCCATTGCACCATACTCTCTAGCATACTAATGATGATGATGAAAAAAGTCAAAAGTTAGCTAAAAGTGGAAAGTGTTTTTGAGAAAATTTTTAGAAGCATTTGTTTATGGGTTAGGGATGGCTGATGTTCTTGACGATGTGCAAAAGATAGATACGTGTTTTAAAGAAAATAAATATGCTATAGAAAACCAAAATGAAACAAATAAAAAAAGAAGGAAACGATCAAACTGATTGACTGACTGACTGACTGGTGAGCTTTTCATTATACATGAAAACCTCCTGATCCCATTCGCTAGTTTACTCGTTTTTCTTTTCACAACTTTTGTTTAACACTCACTGCAGACATATTTATTTAATCAGCAGCAAAAAGTTAACTATTAAAAAAGTGAAGTAAACTTGTTGGAAAATTGCGCCAAACTTTTTCAATAAACAAAAGTACGTATATATACAACTAGAAAAAATAAGTGTAAGCGTATAACGTATATATATATATATATATATATTATATAATAAACAAGGAAAGTATTAAAACATTTCGAATTCTCTTTTAACTTGCAGCCAACAACTAAAACAGTGAACGTGTACCAACTCTTATTATAAATAAATGAAAATCAATCAAATTAATACATATATATATATATATGTATATATATATATATATGAATATATACATGTAAACTCAACTATCTTTAGAGAAAAAAAAAAAATTTCTTTGGCATTTTCGTAACTTTTTCTCGTTTTACACCCACCACGGAGTATGCTAATCGTACGTAATCACATAAGCAAGATACATAAACGCAGTGTGTAACTGTGATCCGCGTGCAAGTCATTACTTATCTGTCTGTCTGTCTGTCTGTCTGTTGGTTCATACCTGCACGATATTTTGTGTAAGCTTTTAAATTGTATGGAAGATTGATTTAGAATTCCGGGTTGAATACAAATATCATTTCATCCTAAATAAGCCTAGAATTGCTGTAATATTGAAGGGCGATAAAGAATGTGGAAGATTTCGAAATGAATTTGTCAGGAACTAGCATTTTACACAAGCGATTTTGATGTCGGACAAGCGTTTACAAGCGTTTATTAGAAATAGCCAAAGCCGAGCAGGAGATCAATGAATATGCACGCAGTGTGGTGGGTGCTTAACATTCGCTCTAAAGCGAATAAACTAAGCTTTCTTGTTTGTTTCCAATTATAAATCATTTAATAAGTAGATAAATAAAAATTAAGTAAATAATAAATAAATTATTTACCATATTTTGGGTAATTAATCCCTGACTGGTTTCAGCCGCCCCACTCCCGTCTCAAAGGTAAACCTAATGAGAAAAAAAAATACATGAAAGAAAAGGAAAAACAAACAGTAGTAGCGAAATAAGAGATAGAGAAAAAGAAAGAAAGAAATGCAGAGAGAGAGAAAGAGAGATAGAGTTGGGAAGATGAGATATAAGAGATCGACAGAATGATTCATGATTTTGTACATAGTTGTGTGTAACGTATGAGTTCTTCTTTTTATCGTTAAAACTTTATTTATTCATTAATTTTTTTTTTTTTTTTTTTTTGTTAGTTTTATGAAAATGATGAGAGCATGATGAATTATAAAATGATTTAATTTACATGATTTTCTTCTTTTTTGTTTGTTTTTGATTTCCTTTTGATGTTTATTATCGATTGGTGTATTTTTGCATAGAGTTGTAGAATGTAAAAATAGAAAGAAAGTTAGAAAACAACGTTTACGTCCCCAATAACTTAAAAATGTACAATTTTTTTGTCTTATTCGATAATTTTCTTCTTTTGTTTTAGATTTCTCTACGTGACTAACATTCAGACATATATGTACTCGCATTCAAACGTGCACACAGTTAAAGCGTTTTGTTTCTTATTCACTTATTATCTTATTAAGTAAATGCATTTCATCTCATTATTTTCAAAACAACAGTGGATATTATATATACATGTTATACACACATATATGATTTGTTGCCGGCCTTGCATTAACGGTAATATCCTGTAATAACTGGCATATTAAATGTTCTGTAATTGGCTCAGAAAGCTAATCAATAATCGTAAATATCAAATTAAAAATAATAATACAAGGACAGAATTCAATGTGTAGAGAATAAGGAAAAAGAGCGAGAAGAGAGAAGAATAAAAAGGAAGACAGAAAACTGATTGTAGCCATCTTTTCATTAAAGCAAGTTACAATAGCCAACAAAAATTTTCGTATGAATATTGAATGAATGAATGAATAATACTTGACTGATACATTAGAAGCAAAGAGAATCGCATACAACGATTATTGTCGTATTTCACATAGTACTACGTATAAAAGAAATCGGACGAATTATTATCTTGTCTCGTTCCATATACCAAAGAGAATTGTTTCATTTCTTCACTCACCACTAAATGATTGAGGGCATGTATAGTTTGCGAAAGCTTTTGCAACAATCAGAAGCAAGCTTCGAAGATCCCATAAAGTACATTACGGAATGTGATAAATTTGTCATTTTGTTGGAAACAATGAGAATGAGATGTGTGTACTTTAAATCATGTAAGGTAATTAAATATTTTAAAGATATTTCGTAGATTTGTAAGCTGTATTGATAGAACTATGTCCATGTATGAACGCTATCTGTCCAAATAAGGACACAACACATCGATTCGGTGAGTGAAAGGTGATGCAAATGCTAGCCAATGTAATAAATAATAGCGGCCATGAAAAGCTGAAAAAATTTTCTGAATAAGAAGCAGCAATAAGCAGCAATTTGTCTCGATCTCTGTTGTAAATGATATATATATTGAATAAGAGAAATAAAAATTTTTTTTATTGAAAATTAAATGTCTATACAAAAGGTTCTATAAGAAATTGTCTGTCAATGAAAGACGTCGCCAGCATAAATTTTTGAATTCATTATCTCCCCGATTTGTGCAAAATGCAATCAATTTAATTACCCTAAAAGCACAAAAGCAAATACAAGCAAACATTTTATCATATACATACGTAATATAAATGCAATAATATTCAATAAAAAATACTCACACGCAGACAAACACGCATACACACACATACACAAATTCATAGATATATTCATAATTATTCGACACGTGTCAATACAGTAAAAAATATACATTTAATATACATATATATGGCAATGACAACAATAAATAAACTCGTGTATATGCGTATATAAACTACAATAAAAAAAAAAAAAATACACCAATCGACGCTTAAAAGTGATGATCAAGCTAACTAATTACGTAAAAATGATATAGGAAAACATACATATACATATATATATATATATATATATGTTCGCAAATTTATTATAAATACAATGCGAAAATAACGACAATGACAACGATTTACATCTAAGTACATATTGTGAAAATAATGAAAGGATATATATTAATAATATGTCAGTATATATACGTGTGCGTATCTTGATATGTGCTCACCTTCTTGACGCTGCGAGTGGTAGAGAAGCCATCACCGCGACGATAATTATCACCCTGCGTGTGGGTAAAAAAAAAGAAAGAAAAAAAAAAAGCAAGAATGTTAGAAACAAAATTATAAAAATAAATACACTTTCAAGTGATGTTGATTGGTGGTGAAGATAAGCGGGAAGTAGCGAAAATGCGGGCCAGCCGAACATACATACTTACCATAACCTGATGAGATCTTAGAGTACCGAAATTGTCGCGACAACGATATGTTTGTTGTGTATTGTAGCCATCTGGCTGAAACTGGAAGAACGTTTCTGAGTTGGGACCATGATGTGGGATAGGTTTACGTAAAGTATTCTTCGGTGAATGCATTTTGTTTTGGCTAGGTGGCTGCGGTAATAGCACTGGCTCGGCATACGTTACCTCTTCAACTTGCGGCAATAATTTAGGTTCTGTTTGAATCCTATATGTGAGAGAAAGAGAGAGAGAAATAGAGAGAAAAATTCCATTTCGTGTTTTTTTTATTCTTTCAGTAATTAATGAAATTAGATCGCCTACCGATTAACATTTTGCCTTTGCTCGAAATATTCATATTCGGTATCGGGATAGGGTAAATTATCATCTTCGTCTTTATGACAGCGGCGACCGCAAAAGTAGCCTGTAAAGAATCCCACTAAAAGGGAGAAAATGGAACCCGCTAAGACGGCCATAACCAAAGTTTCAACGGTGTACTGGGCATTGATTATATCTGGAGAAATTTGGGGACCTTTTTTAGCAAAATTTAGCGTTTAACATTTTTTGTACATTTTGTTGTTGTTGTTGGTGGTGGTGTTGGTGTTGTTATGGTTGTTGTTATTTTTTTCATATTTTTTTTTTAATTGTTGTTGTGGTTATCATAAATCATTTTGTTTGTTTAGAGGTGTGTTGTTATTCAGTGTGGTAGTGTTTTAGTTTTTTTTTTTTTCATTATTATCATTATTCGTTTGTATTGCAAAAATACAGCCAATCAATAATATTTCGTTGTTGTTATTATTTTTATTATTAATAGTTGTAGTTGTTTGTTGTTTATCGTAAGCCAATTCCATATAAAAATTCAGCACACGTATGTGTTCGTTTGTTTGTTAATTTTCATACATACACACATACGTACATATATTTTATTTGTTTATAAATTTGTGTGTGTTTTATGTGAAAGAGTGTATTTTGTAAATATTTTGTAGAGAACAACAATAATATAGCATAGCGTGGCATATAGAGTAAGATAGACACCAACAACACATCAATTAAACATCAAACACACACACGCAAAGAGAGTTGTGACGCAATGAACGATATCCAATCAAAATATTTTTTTAAAAAAAATTTTTGGTTGATTTTTCAATTGTTTGTTTTTTGTTGCATTTGTTACAAAAACATTTAAAACGTTTAATATACAGAAAAACGGAATAAAAGAAAAGAATAAAAAAAAGAACGAGAACAGGATTAAAAACATTTTCTTTAAATATCGATTTATTTCTATATACAGAGTGTTTATTACTGTTTCAATAAAAACGTTAAATTTCTTTGGTTATCAGTAAGTGCATTGAAAACTGTATTTAATTTAATTACGAAAAACTTTTCAAAATTACAAATAATAAACGAAATCATACATTCAAACTCAAGCACAGTACGAGGATAATTAAAGTTTGCAAGATTAACATCTAAGTTAACTAGCAATTATCATATAAGGAAAGGTTGTCCAGATTTCCAGTTTTTTAAATAATCGACAATATTGCCTATGGCTTTGAGAGTTTAATTCGTTTTCTTAGCTTTCTACTGCTCATCATTATTACTAGCCATTGTAAGCTTTACATTTCATACTTTTATTTATTATGTAAGCTCTGCGTTACTACTTTTCTCATTATTTGGTGGTCGATCGATTTAGCCGACTTTGACGTTCATCGTTATGCAGACTTTCCTGCTTGAGAGGCCCTCGGGTGGAGGTTTTATTTTTCATTTTTCTATTACAATAGCAAAACTCTTTTCACAGTAAAATAACAAATCTTTTAATATTTTATTCTTATTGCCTAACCACACCTATTTGTCATCCAAATTATATCTCCCCAAGCTCGCAAGCTTACAATTTCTTTTTACTAACCTTTTAGCAAATGTTAAACGTCATCAAAACTGTGACATCTTTATCTATGTATATCTGTCTTTTAACGCACGACCGAAGGATGGAAGGTGTATTCAATTTGTCAAAACATTTGCAATATCTAGAAGGAGGTTCCATGGGCCTAAAGCCTCTTGACCAACATGAAGTTATGAATTCATTCACACGTGCCAGTCTGTCTGTTTGTCCTTCCGCCAATCTTTGTTATGCCTGCGGTAACCATTTCCTTGGCCATAAAAATGCAAATAGGTTGTTATTGAAAATCCACGAAATTGGTCAAAGAACGCGCCTACAATACAACACAGACAAAAAACAGCCCCCTTGTTAAAAGCTAAAAAGAGAGGATATTTGCCACAACCAATTGTAATTTTTTACATGTTCATTTCAACTACAGACGAAAGAATAGTTCACTTAGATTACATTCTCGAGATACAATTATAATAATAGAAATGTTGAGAAGACCTCGTCTTGCAGCTTTCTAGTATAAAGCAGACGTAAATGGTTCCAAAAGACCGGAAGCAATGAATACGAAGAGATTGTAGTTGACAGAGGAAGTTCCAATTTTCAACTCTGTACAATAAGCAAAGGTTGCTCTAGATGTCTTATCGTTTACGTTCATCGTCCGCCTTAAATCGTTACAGAAATTACATATAATGTCTTGCCTAACTTTCTTGAAGCTTCTCTTCTTTACACGGATTTTTTTCTTACTTCAACGTAAAATTCGGATTGTGTCTATTGCTCTCTTACGCGAAAATGAGTATAACTCTCTTAATGGAAATCAAAAATGTAAGAAACAAATGAAATGATTTGGCGGACAATAAGAATTAAAGGATCTTGATAATCTACAATCCGAAGAAGACGTCTTCCCTATAGATAGCCAGGGAAATATATCGCAAAACGATGTCTTTTCTGTTGGAGAAGGAATCGTCTTAGATTCTGCAGAATTGAAAAGTAGTAGCTAGCCTGAGAACGCTTATATTATACCCGCGCTTGTGGACAAGGCATGGAAAGACAAATTTGGTTATATGTTATCTGCAGTACAACTTCACGATTTCATAAATTTAGTTGAGATACTACGAATGTTAGGAGAATTTGTTTGCTTATTCTCTATTCCGACAGCTGCGAATAGTCATGGCGCGCACAGGTAAACTGTAGATGTCTTGAGGTGAGCTATGGGAACGGAAGAATAGAAAAACAGTAGATCTTCGGAGTGATAGTAATGTCTAGGTTTGCCACAAAGAGGGGTAGTGAATCGAACCCATGCATTAAGCATTCATAAGCAAATAATAAAACGCTAGAGATTATTAACTTTTTCCACGAACTGAGCCTTGACTATAAATAAATTTGAAATCTCGATTACCGCAGCGGTATGTATACACAAATAAAATTTTTAATTTGTCTTATAATTCGAATTGAACGAAATGATTGAAAACTCGACTGACTTAAAGTGAGTTGACGTTCTTCAAATAGGATTTTGAGGAATTTTCCATTTAACCCGTGTGTTCATTTTCAACTTCTAAAAACTATTTTTTATTCTGAAATAATATGCTGAAATGATACGATCGCATGTGCTTATAAGAGAACTTTATGTGATTATTTATCTCAAACAGATTACCCTTTCGTTCTGAATTTATTATGCAAAATTTTCCTAAAAGCGATTGCAATCTCTAATAATGAAAGTGAATTGATGTAACTGAACTTAATGCGAAGGCTGGGTTTGTGACATGATTTGTGCGACAAATAAAATACAAAAAGATGTTAAAACGCATGCAAATTTATTTGTTATTAACATTGAAAAGCGTGCAATAATAGCCAGTGTACAGTTACTACAGATTGATGAAAGGATCTTAAAGGAGTGAATACAATAAATGCGTATATAGAACGAAATTATTTACCTTCGAAGTTCTTATCTTGCATAATATTAATCATTTCTTGATCTTTGCTTTGACGCCTTTGATCCAAAAGGCCCATATCATCACGATAACCTTTCTGCTCGCCCACATTTGCATCTTTTGAATTGATTTTGCCTGCAGGGAAAAAAACCGGTTCGTCAGAGATTAATATTTTCATAAGTAACCAACTATGTATATATAGTTTGATGACTGACAATTTTTACAGGGCGCTTGCAATATCTTATCGGCTGATTTGCCGGCTTGAGAGGTAGTTAGTTAGATTGGGTGTACATACAGTTTCCTGAACTCTTACAAGGGCAATGGTAACATCACTTACGTTTTCTATTTTTGTATATCCGTCACGAAAGGGGTACCTTAGGTTCGTCGCTCTATGCAGCAATATTCTTAACGTAAGTGAATCCGCTGGGTCTGATACGCGTCCGTCTACACGAATTCTCAAAAACACCTACATGCTAACATCTCCATAAATTCACAAGGTCAACAATTGCATTGTTAAAAAATACTGTTATGAAATTCGCTTTTACTAAGATACAGTCCGTATCACTGGATCGTAAATATGTTATTCAAGAGAAATGCACTTCAAAGTTTTACTACTTTGTCTTTCACAGCAGTAGGAATATTTATTTACAATTTATTTTGGCCGTACTCTCAGCTTCTACGTTCTTGCCAGACTAACCCTACCTTTCGCAAATATTCTATTTATATACAATTTTACAAGCATCTTACTATACCTAAATTTATTGTTCCATACATAATAAACCGTTCTGGACTCTGGTGCTGTTTAGGCCCCTACTCTGTGGGGATTGTCTAACTCGCCAGGGGGCGTAGTACGCTTAAAGTGGCTTGGGCCACCGTGGGGTTAAGCCTTTCAGGCAGGAACCCACGTTAAACTCTTGCCACAATTCTATACCTAAATTTATGGTTTTATTTCTAATCCCAGCCTGGTTTTTCCTCTAATTGTTTTCATCGGCCTGCAGCTGCATGAGGCGCCTGCGACTGCTCATTTGGTTTTTCCTTCTTTAGCAAATTTATTATTAGGGAAAATTACATAGATGAATAACTGGATTTGGGATTTTCGTAACAATACTTTAACCCTTTCCAAATACAACTTTTTATATCAGTATATTGGAAATGTTGGAAAAAAATTTGATGTGAAGCTTATTCTTTGAGAGAAAGAAGCGACTACATTTTTTGTAAATTCAGCAAAATGCATCATCAATCAGATACGCCAATGTTGGTGATTAGCTGAATTCTGAAACAAGAAGATGGTTAGTTGAACCTTAGGTTTCGCGAAATTCCATTGTTTCACAGGTGACTATCCGCAAAATAAAATGCAAACGGTTTCCACGTAGTATACGAAATGTTCACGAACAAGTTTCTGAGAGAAAATAAAAAAAAAACCGCGTCGAAGAAAATATGAATTTCGTAAATATAGTTCGATACTCTTCTCCCAACGATGTTGAATAGTTTCAACATATTTTTTTCAGTACGAAGAGTCGCGCTCCATAAAATAGTCACCAACGCCAAACTTCATTACTTCAATGTTTTGCAAATATTTTAACATCTCTCAAGGTTGAAGAGAGAAGATAGTCAAGGAGAAAAGTACTTTTGGTTTGAACTCTTTGATCTCTTCACAAAGTACGTGTCAATGGGTAAAATAAGTTTTATTTTTTCGTTAAGTCCATCCATGCGCTAATAGTTTTTCCTTTCTTAACATGTCCGCGGACATTCAAAGGCATTACACAGCTCTCATTATGATCGTGGTGCAAAATGTTATTGAAGTTTATATAAATTCCGGGCTTTTCATTATTAAGATTGCCGAAATATTGATTAACTGATTCTTTAGGTTTTTTCATGTCATATTATTTTTCCACAGTTTATTTTTCCAACTATTGAAGGCAGCTTCATAGATTTCTGTACACTAAAAAGAAAAAGGATTCTCCCATTGTCCCTTTTTCTCATGTTTTCTCTTATAAGAATGATATAGCATTTACGACATTTCACTTGAAAAATATGATGCGAGCTGATGTAAGTACTGTGGTATTCGTTGTATGTAATGAAAGCATGATCTTCTAACTGTCCTTAGGAAGTGTATTTAATTAGATTTCCGATATCATAACTAATTTTAAACTAATTAACTGACAATTCTACTGCCCGCAAATGTGTTACAAAGCTTCAATAAAAATTTGTCCGCGGGCATCTGAAAAAACTCATCAATGGGCAATCGTATAATAGCGCCTTCAGGATTATCCTCTCCTCTTCTGTTGCCGTTGTTTCATTTGCTCGTTCATTTCGATGCTCAGTTCGGTAGCTCGTTATATAGTATTAATAGCGTATCGGTGCAAAACGAAGTAGCAGACCCAAAGAGTAGCATCCTGCCCGACTTTAACACGTTGTATAACATAACGGTAACGAATTTTTTCTGGCTTTGAAACAAACGCTAAGCAACAACTTGTCTTTTTCAGTCCTCAAATTCAATTGGTGTCTTCGGTGATTCCGCCGTTTTGTAACAGAGAATATAAGTTACACTGTAGGGCGCTGAAGAACTTGTGACTTGCTTATTTAAGATTACTGTCGCCTTCGTCGTCTTCTTCTGCAAGTCAGCAAATTAACAACAGATGATTCGCTATGCGGGGTAAAAAAGCTATACGCAACTGTATAAACTATCACATTAGAGGGTACGCAACGTATTCCAATTTTTTGGGGGCTTTGAATAGTTATATTTCCGCGCTGTTCGCACGGAATTTTACTTTTTCTGCTTATTTCGAATCCTTACAAGTAGTTAACAGCGGATATGTTACGATACCTAACGCGGCTGAATATCCACGGAGGCTTTCAAGGTGGGTATGGTGCATTGTATGTATGGCATCCTCCAACTCAACGAAGCCACCAATTGATGCATTTGCAACATTCAAGGGAGGCAATACACCAAAAGATTTAATATCGTGAGTTTTCAGCGTAAAGCAATTCCGCCACATAACTCCATTGGAAAATGTTTGCAGACAATACTCCTTTTGATCAAAACAAGTTTTATTATATGATTTACTGCAAGCATCCATTCTTATAATGATATCTAAATGTGGGTTTTTTACATGATAGCGTTAAATCACCAGTTTTTCTTCCGGTACAGAATTTAGATTATTTCTAAAAAATGGCATTTTTAGTGTCTAGTGGTGGACAATATTTCGCATAGAAAATGTGCAATCGGTTATTTTCAATGAACCCTCGAATGCCGAAAAATAACACAACGGCTGAAGCCGTAGTAGTTATGCATCTACGATTTTTTGTCAGATTATGTAATTCTGAGGCTGCCGTGGGACTGTCATAGTCGATGCAGCTGACCCGAAGTAATAAATTTTTTTATTTACCCTAATTAGCAGTCTTAGGCTGAATATACTTGACGATACGGCGTTAAATTAATTTTGCTAGCTTTAGTTTATACCAATTAGTCGATAAATTTAAAAAAATGCTTGATATTTAATTTTAATTATCAAGTTTTATATTTCTTGTTTATAGAATTGTGCTCTTAAACAGGCAATGAATTCTGAATTCATTATCTACATATGCAGATATCAATCAATCAATCAATTAAATGGTATTTTCTATCAATTGAATTAAAATCCCCTTTAGTCCAGTACTGTGTTAGTCTTTTCAAGACATCACCTGCTACTCGTATGGTAGTAAGATAGAAAAACAACAATTTTAATTTCATTTAATATTTTGCAAAAATCTCATTAAAAACAGATGGAAAAAACAGCAACTACTAACCACATAAGGATATACATGAATATATGTATTTTATATGTATGTACCTATAGCCAAACAGCAGCGCAGCAATCACAGAGCGAGTGAGTGAGTGAGTGAGTGAGAGCGGGAGAAATTACAAATTGCAATTTTCACTTTTGGCAATAATCCAAATCTCCAATTACACATGAAATTTTTATTACAACACAAGCAAGGCAACAGAAACTACAATTCGCAACAGCAACAACTACAGTAGCAACAACAATAAAAACAATATTTGCCACCATCACTATGGCTGTTGGTAGATATTGCCGGCTATATAATAAAAAACAATAACGACACACATACAAACTGACTGACTATTTACTTGACTACTTTTGCTCTATATTATTCTTGCTGTTGTTGCGCAGTATTCTGTTGTGTTGGTGTATTGTTATAATGAAACATTGAAAAAATCAAATAACAGAACTATAGCCCGCCTTAGAGCGAGCATGGGATGTCAACCATCTCAGGTAAATATATATACTAGTATTGATCAGTCTTTCTTAATTGGGCGGATGTCAACGTTTTGATTGATTTTATTTTTGCATACGCGATACAGCTCTGACAGCTCTGATAGATATTTTAACCATGCTTTACATCAATATCCGTTATAGCTTATAAGACAGTAGTAATAGAAGTATGTAATTGGAAATTGTCACCTTATATTAGATTGAACTTTTCAGTTGGAATTTTTGAAATTTGAAAACTTTCATTACTTAAGTACGTTAGCCAGCCGGTGAATGGGCGGATCCGCGACCATAGGAAAAATTCCTGTACTAGGTAAGGTCATTTGAAAATTTGCTACGTCCCCATTGCCTATTAAAAAGTGAAAACTGGCTTCAGTCAACGGCCACGATAAAGTGAGAGAAGGAAATGGGATGAAATTGAATTTCACGCTTAACATCCAAATTTTTAGATCAAAAGGGGACATTTACAAAGAAAAAGAAAGTCGCTTTGCAATCTCTATAAATGTTTGCTTAGCGATCAATACAAGATACGTAACAAAAATATATGTCACTCCCTTGTGTGAAAATATTTATATCAAAAGACATATATATGAAAATCGCCAAATCGAAATCAATTTTGGATGAATTGTAACTTGAATTTTTATCCAATACTCTTTCTCTTATTTACGTCATTCTGATACGATTCCTTCAGTGCCGAAACGAACGTGGCTATATCGGTTCATAATCTTTCTTCATTTAGGAATGAGTTTTTAAGGTTATTTCTGTTCGTATCGTTAGATATGATATATTTAACATACTCTGCTGAGTTGCCTATAAAGTGTAGATATTAACATACTTATGAGCTGTCTGCAACAAACGCGTCCTGATAGATATTCCAGGTGTTGGACACTGCTAACTAAGCAATTGCAGTACATACCACTTTATGTCGTATATGTGTACTATGCTGTCATAATATTGAACGTATATACTCACGTGTGTATATAGTATAGTCCAGTACAGTGTAGTACATGGATGTTACCATATGCCCCTTTTAACATAACAGAATATTGCTTCGCTTATGTGTAATACGAACCTGAGGGGCATGCGGCATGTTGGCCAGTTGCGACATTTTGATAAAAATAGTTCTCCTCGAGCCAACGTGGCGCGCCATGGGAACGACATTTGCCAGCAATTTTGTCCCATGCACAGTACGGATCCTGAAGAGCGACACATTCGCTGTTTAAATAATGTGTTTCAGTAGTTGTTGTTGTTGTTGTTGTTGTTGTTAGATTGTGAATGTTACAAACGATGACAATGAAAAGATGATAATGATGTTGATATAATGATAATGATGAAGATTATGACGACAATGTGACGTCGTAATGACGAGCGAGCGAGCAGGCGAGATAAATTTAAACAAGTAGTAGATATGTATGAATGATGCGAAATTACACCAACATCAGCAGCACCAGCAGCAGTAATCAAATGAAAAACAAAGAGAAAGAAAACAACAACAACACATATGTAAATATTTTTCTTTTCGCTTTTTGTTTTCCTTTTTTTGTTTTTGTTTTTTTTTTGGCATACATTAACGAAATAAAAAGCAATGAATTGTAGTGTTATTGCATCATTGTCACTGCAGACAACAGCAACGTGCAACGGCAACATTTAATCTTGCTGTTGTTGTTATACCTTTCTTATGTGCTTGCTTGCGTGCATGCATGCATGCATGCATGCCTGCTGCTATTAATATTGTTAATGACGACGATTCAGCATTATTTTTAATTGCAATGTTCGAGTACGACAAGACGACTTTTGCATTGACTCAGTTACAATTTGGCAAAAAAAGCAATAAATTTTATTTTTTTTCATTCTTATTAACTCACCTGCAACTGGTAATTTTGTCATTGTGACACCGATGTAACTGTATTGCAATTACTTGACTATCAGTGACAATAACCAACTTGCCGTCATCGTAGCTTCCATCTTTTGCTTGATCTGTTCGTATGCATGTGTGTGTGTGTGTGTGTGTGTGTGTATGGAAGCAAGCAATTGATTAATTAAACGTGATTTTGTAGAAAATGTTATTTCAATTCTGTTAATTGTTTCGCTTCTGGCGTATGGTACTTACCATATTGCATTGTTCTAACGATTTCCAAATTTCGTATCGGCTCACTTTTCGGCAAAACATCAATTTCCTCAATAACAACTGAAGTTACTTTCTTATCAGAATCTGCTGATTCAGCGTTCACTGATTTTATTATTTTACCGTGATCTAGGGAAAATAAAGAAAATTTACATTTAAAACGGAGTGTTAAGGTAACGCCCTCAACAACCCAAATTTGACATAAAGTTAATTATGAATTTTATTAATTTCGACTAAGAGCACACCCGCTGAATGCATGAAGCAAGCAACGATGGGCTAGAATATAAATGTATCAGATAGAGAAGATTGCTTGCTGAAACATTGCGAGAAAGGCATCAAGCATCAATAAAATAAATTTCGTATCGAAATTTCCTAAAATATGCTAATCATATTAGCTGTATACATAAATTCTCTGTATTTTTTTAATAAAGTTCAACAATTTGAATTGAAAAATATTTGTTACAAAAGCTTAATAATCAAAATATGAATAGTAACCTTGCATGGTCGTTTGATTCTTATCGGGTAGCTGCACGATAGTCTCGTCTTAGATAGAAACTTCGTGGCGTAACAGTCACTGACAAATTTTCGGACGTTTGTAAGCTGCCGATTTGCTAAATATAACAGCAGTGATCTAAACTAACTGTACTGATTTCAGCTAATCAAGAAAAGGAAAGTTTGAAGAACACTGCTTTTGATGCGTACGGATAGACGTATGCGAATGTTCATCGTTGTCAAGATTAAAATTCATACCTCATTGCATTTTCATTCCAAGCCAATTTAATCATTTCCGTAATCTCAGCTGCATTTTTTTAAAATAGAGTAATATGCGCTGCCGTACACTACATCGACCTTTTTAAGTGTCGATATACATGGCAGTGCAGCAGCAGTTATCTATTCTTGAAAATTCGGAAAAACCAGAAAACATATTTGTACACCTAATATTTGTTTTCATTAATAAATTAGTTCAACAAAGCCCATTGAAGAGAATCGTTTGGACAACTCGTAATTGGAGCGCAAAGGTCTTAAAGTATTACAAAATAAAATAGTCATATCATAGATTTTGAAATGAATCTCCGCACATTCGTGTTTTTAGGATCAAAAATCTTTAATAATCTTACAATAATTGTCAGAAGGCAAATAAAACCATTATAGTTGGTCTCGACCCACCTTTAAACATACGACAACAACAAACAGTTATTAATACAACGACTTTTCAAAATAAGGCTTTATATTGAAAAGGTCGAAAAAGTGATCCGATCCGAATGGTTTTCGACAGCGCATGCCTTCGTGCCAAAACACGTCAACGTACCAAATTTCGTCAAAATATTCCGAAAATTGCGATCTGTAAGTTAAGTATAAGAAATCAAGATTGGCAGACGGACAGACAATCTTAAATCAATACAGAGAGAAAGATGCAGATTTAATCGGTGTAACATTAGACAGGTCTATCCCAACTCCTCGTGAGTGTTGAATATATTCGCACAAGCTTAATATACCGATGCACCACAAGTGGCGTTGGGAATAGTGGGGATTGTTTTGCTATAAGAAGCCTCAACTTATCTTTACTGCAATAACTGGTATATGATTCGACATCTTCAATTGGTGTTTCTCGGCATACATAACTTTTACATAAAGAAGGTCTTTAAGGACCCTTAACGATGTTTTTTTTAGCGCATAACGCTCTGTTTTGTCTGTCATTTAATAATTATCAATTTTCTTCTATCGAGACACAATTTATTCGTTGCAAATTTATAAGCCTTTATGTACTTAAAGTTATTGTGCGAGCAGTGCGTTGAGAAAAACTTTTATGCTCTGATACGAATATGTATGAACATACCAGTTCAATTCATTTACAGATGAGATCATTTGCATTTAAATAAATAATTTGCAACAATTTATGTCGCTTATCGCATAACAATAAAATATTCAAATGAAATTACGACAAAACTAAGGAAAAACTAAATAAAAGAAATTCTCCAGGAAGAAATTAACATTTCAACAATAAGAAATCAGGGACTTTGCGTAAAATATGTCACAAATGCAAATATGTCTGCATCTATATGAATACATAAATGTTGTGTGTAAGAATGTTTTTTTTTTTTTTTGTTACGTGGAGACATACTCAGTTGGCCATTTAAAAACTCTATACTTCTCGCTTTTTCTCTTACCTGTACCAACAAAAATTACGTCATAGGTTTTACCACCAGGAGTTTTGATTTGAGCATCAACAGCAATTTGTGTAAAACGATAACTGCAAGGAGAAAATGGAAAGAAAAATAGATTGAGATAAAGCCGAAGATAGTGGAAAATAGTCAAAGTATAGAGACTACGTACGGTGTATGAATAGAGCACACAATGCTATAAATATTGAGGTAACATGAGTTTTTTAGTGTATTGGTGTGGTATCTTTTACACGTTTTTAATAAAATTTAAATGGCTTTTTTGGCTTCGTTATTATTGTTGTTTTTATATACATAACAAGTTGAATTATTACTATGTGACGAGTGACAGCACAGAAAATTTAAGTAGCAATAGTAGTAATAGTAGCAGAATTGAAAGTAATAGTATTAGTAGCAATGGCAATAGTGCACAATGATAGTATTAATAGCAGCAGTGGTGACAGTAGTGGTAGTAATAGTTGTAGAAACAACACTAGAAGGAATAGTAGTAGTAGTAATAGTAGCATTAGCGGCAACAGTAGTGGTAGCAGTGGTAGCAGTAATCGTAGTAGTAATGAAGCAGTAGTAGTAGTGTTGGTAATAGTAGCAGTAAAGTAAGCAGCATCAATAACAAAGAGTCATGTAATTAAAGCGAGCAAACGTGTGCCCGCAGTGCAAGCCTTATTACCATATGCAGTTACCCAGCGCACGATGAGAACTCCAAAATCAGTTTTAAATGAATTTATTTAAGAGAATATGATCATCACTTGGAATTTTTCACCGGAGAGAGAATATTTGACCATTATTGCGTAAGCAGTGGAAAGAATAGATCTATTTTAAGCAAAGTTTTTCCATAGCAATTTAAGATTAAGTAAAAATGGAAGCCCTGTTGGTTTGCCTACTTTCTGACGACATTCTGAAAACTAAATTTCAGTCCAAATTTCAATATCTCATCACAAGTCTGTAAGTTCTTTTCTTCGAAGAGCAGCGAAATTCGCTTTGAAACTATTTTGTGAACGAGTCACTATTGATAAGGTGTCACACGTTACCTTAAAAAATGAGTCTTTATTGATATAGATTCTAAGACTAAAGTTTTAAAGCGCTAGCATCTAAGGCGATCGGCTTTATTGAGAATTCTGCGGCACTTAAGATTTGAACCCTTGACCATTGAGTTGTTAGTCGAGATCCTTTGAATACTCGACAGCTCAACTTTGTGTGAAATTAAAATTCGAAGCTTAGCATTACTAATTGGAAGATTAGATTATTGATTTATTCAGAAAAAGTTTGTTGGACGTGCTCGTGGATGTGAGTGCATTGCATTTTTCACTCTGATTGTGTTGCATAATAAAGCTATTAATTATGAACACCAGCGATCGGTGACAGTCTACCACCATGTAGTAAAAGGCAAAATGGAAAAGTCGAGAAAGAGAACGTTAGGCTGCATGCAATGAAACGTTTTTTAATTTGTTTCTTTTTCAATAATACGTTGGCATCAAATAAAAACTTGTTCCGAGTTTGCCGCAAGTTAAGACTATGTATGAACAGCACAAATGAGAGGATTTGATGTTGACTTTCGATTCTGGCCCCTTATGAAGCATTAACACAAGTGTTAGAGTTTCTACAAACATATACATATTGTTACGAAAATCCCAAATCCAGTTAATTTCAGCTAAGTAATTTTCCTTAATAATAAATTTGCTAAAGAAGGAAAAACCAAATGAGCAGTCGCAGGCGCCTCATGCAGCTGCAGGCCGATGAAAACGATTAGAGGAAAAACCAGGCTGGGATTAGAAATAAAACCATAAATTTAGGTATAGAATTGTGGCAAGAGTTTAACGTGGGTTCCTGCCTGAAAGGCTTAACCCCACGGTGGCCCAAGCCACTTTAAGCGTACTACGCCCCCTGGCGAGTTAGACAATCCCCACAGAGTAGGGGCCTAAACAGCACCAGAGTCCAGAACGGCTTATTATGTATGGAACAATAAATTTAGGTATAGTAAGATGCTTGTAAAATTGTATATAAATAGAATATTTGCGAAAAGTAGGGTTAGTCTGGCAAGAACGTAGAAGCTGAGAGTACGGTCAAAATAAATTGTAAATAATCGTACATGTAAGAAATATAATTATAAATAAATACTCCTACTGTTGTGAAAGACAAAGTAGCAAAATAAAAGAGCTTTGAATTGTATTTCTCTTGTACAAAAATATCCGCGATCCAGTGATACGGACTGTACCTTATAAAAGCCAATTTCATAACAACATATATAGATATATATATATATATATTTGATCAGCGTGAACAATGTAATTGAATTGATTATATTTTCTTGTTTGTCCTTGTTTGTGTGTTGAAATATCGGTTGCGTCTTGAAAACTTTGTGTTCAAGAGCACAACTTTCGATGCCTTTGCTAGTTAAACATTTAAGTTAAACAAAGATCTTTCCGTCCTCAAATACCCTAGAACTGATAATTCTCCTCTTTTTCTTAAATCTTTTCCACAAACTGTGGAGTTTTAATCTAATGCTCGCCGTTAAATGTTTCTGTTCTGAGAATGTGAGCACACATCAAGTTAAGTTTGAATACCATCCGTTGTAAATCAGTCAATGAAATGAATAGAAAGTTAGACATGGCTAACTTGAAACCATGTTCGCAAGCAGCGGCTAATAGATCAGTGTCGAACACCAAACCAATCCATGATTCTGCTAACGATTTAAAGTACTTTGTCATTCGATGAAGGATAGGAAAGGATGCATTTAGCGATACAAACAAAGCTTTTCACATAGTTACAACATCATCATCAATTTTTATAAAAAACTATCGATCATATAGCTAAGTAAAAGTGAAAAAAATTTTATCATGTATACGCAAAAATATATTTATTAATGCAACTCATTAAGCGATTGCAAAATTTGCATCAATCTAAAGCGAGTAAAGAATTGTATTGAAATTTCACCGTAATTATAAAATCGATAGGCAACGCATTCATTATTATTCGTTCGTAATGTTGTTCTTGTAGTTGGTTTGTGCGTCTTTTAAAATCCCTAAATCTGTTCAAGTTGGTTAAACGCAGTTTTAGTAGCCACCCATAATGTTTTAAATTTTTTCTGTGCGTTTTCTTTTTTTCTCGACTTTGCCGCAAAGTTCGGTGGTGTTGTGTTGTGCTTGCTGCGTTTCAGTCAGTTTCATTCTTTGTTTGCCTGCATTTTGTGCACAATATTCCTCTGTACACTAAAATGTAAATGTTGCGTTTTTGTTAACTGCGTTAAATTCTATGCCGTCATTTTCTACTCTTCGTTCATTTCATTCGACGCCTTCTACTGAAAAATGTTTAACAAACCAAAGAGAAATTTGTAGTTTTTCTGCCATTTGATAATGGGGGAGAAAAAGAAGAAAAAAAAAAAAAAACAATATGCTAATGAGCGTTAATTTTCAGCTACGTTTACAAGAAATTTCACGGTAAGGGTAAAAAATGTACATTTTATTATTATTCATTCTGCATAGTTAGCGTTTGTTCGTTTTATCCTTTTAAGCAGACCGATTAACGTACGAGCAGCGACGAAAAATGCTAGAAACATATTGTTGTCATCAGCCACTTTGTTCGGCAATTAAAACTCTCTCTTCACTACTTGTTGTTTGTTTTTGTATTTGTGTCACATACCCCGATATACATCTCGAAAATTACATATATACATATGTATAGTATAGTATGTAAATATGCAAGAAGCATGGAAGATTAGTAACATTAGAGTCTATACTATTTAATAAGACTCGGCGGCGGGTCAGTAATATCATTTTTTAGATTTGCCAAGCATGAGAATCCCCCTTGTCTTTTCCAGGTGAACGTAACAAGTACAATCTATTTTTATACAGTCGCAGTGAAATTAGTTAGCGTGTCTTAATGCAGATTCCGTAAAACAAAAATCAAAAAATTGTTTCTAAATAGATTAGTTTGATGCAATATCACAGCCCTATATAACTAAATTTCATCAGGTTGATGTTTGGTGTTATTTGTTGTAATGTCGGAGGCATCGCGTTCTCTAGACCAATTTTTAAAAAAAACCCTACAAATGAATCTTCTTTTGTTTTAAATTGAAGCGAAATTTATTATGAAGAAGCAAATCTAGATCAAGGAATGGATCGATTATGCGATTAGTGATTTTCTTGATATCTTTTCGCATCTCTCGACATAAGTTTACAATACGCTTACGATTTATGTGCAATGAAGTAGAATGCGTACTCTCTTTCCACACTTGCAGGGAGGGATTGAAGATATCTATTATAAAATCCGGAAAATAGAACTTTAGTAATTATACATATTTTTATACATATTTTTTAAAATATACATTTGTATAATCTTTTGTTTAGGTTTATCCGGTTATTTGATGCAATAAATTCTACTGGGACAGCAGAAGGCAATCGAGTGGTCTTAACTCACAATACATGCAGAGCTGCTTGGCTGACTAAGCAAACGTAGCATATTGTAAAATTATATAACGGAAACGGATGCAATTCATGATTTTAGAGATACTTTTTATTAAGGGAGAAAACATTAGCAATGTATATGTGCATACAGTTTCAGTACAGATGCTGATGCTGGGCAGATGGTACTGCTATTGTTTTCTTAATTATTCCTATTGTAACATTAATTTTTTTTATTATTATCAAAGCAATTTTAGATTTACCAAATGCTCGTGTGCGTAACCCTGTTCGACATGAATACGTTGTCCTCACCTCATCGACCTGTTGAATTCACGCGTATGACCTCAAACTTTTGCTTAGAAAAATAAACTAGTTTTTTTTTATCCTACATGAATCCAACTTAATTGAAGTGTATTAAATTTGTGCGGATGTTTACCACACCCGAAACTAGTTGACATACATTCACATTTTCTATCCCAATCGCTTCAAAATTGATTTGTTCAGTGAGTAAGTCGCATGTGTGGATGGATGAAACAAAAATAAGATGTTATCTCGCCTTATTCAATTAGTCGCTTATTTCTTGAACAGCGAACCGTTCGAATCGATCACTTGCTGTAATTGGCGTTTGGTATTAAACTTTTTGCAAGGCTTTAACAGCTCCCTTCTGATGCCAT